AATACCCAGAAACAGAGAAGAAGATTTTCAAAGATTTAATGCATTTTCATTATATAATCAATTATAGAGCCTCTGTTTCCCGGTGCCGCGTCTAACCCAAGACGTAAAAATAGGTAGTGACTGTTCCTTTGCCAAGCACTTGGCATCAGAAGTGAAGTCACGGGTCTTTCAGATATGACCTTAAAAACATAGGTCCCGTGTCACGGTAGGGGCTGGCACGATAAAGAACCCTCGATCACTGGCCCTGAGTGCAAATTATAGGTCTAAATTTGAAGCCCTTCACTGGCAAACGGTGACGTCTCCATATGAGTGAAAAATTCTTGAGAGGGATGTTAAACAATATACAATCAATCAATAAAGCCCTGTCCTGACACCAGAATCCCTGACCCAGGGGCCATAGAATTCACAATTTTTGTAGAGACACTCTTGCTCATCATAACTATGTACTTCATTAGTTTATTTAATACTCAGGAACAGAGAAGAAGATTTTAAAGAAATAATGCATTTTCCCTATATAATCAATAGAGCCCCGCCCTAACACCAGAACCCCTTGACCCTGGGGCCATGAATTTCAAAATTTTGGTAGAGGACTCAATGGTGATTACAATCAGCCCATATACAGTTTTACTGCTTGATGTCCAGGAGTAAAGAAGATTTTTAAAAATTGCACTTATTTTAGTGGTTTTTGCCCCACCCCGATCCCCAATGCCCCTGGGGGGCAGGGACCATGAAATTCACAATTTTTGTTTCCCTTCTTCCACAAATGCTATATACCAAAATTGGTTATAATTGGTTCAGTGGTACCAGAGAAGAAGCTGAAATGTTTAAATTTTAACACACAACGGATGACAGCGGATGAAAACAGATAGCAATAGGTCACCTGAGTTAACTCAGGTGACCTAAAAAAGCTGATTTCAAAGCATATTTATTTTCTAACCCCACCCTAAGTACCCTGAAATTAACCATTTTGAAGTGCCACCTTTCATCATCATTATCTACTTAGAACATTGGCATATGATACCCAGGAGCAAAGGAAAAGGTTTTCGAAAAATTCATGTATTTTCACTATATAATTATTGGAGCCCCGCCTTAACACCAAAACCAAAATTCCTGTTCAGTTTTAAAAAATGGATCAATACATACAAATTCAAAGAATTGTGGTCCCCAGCTTTGGGTATCTCTGTGGGTGAGATGTTATTTTGTATGACATATGGTGTCTAATATGAACACCCCATCATATGTCATTTATTGTCCCCTGCTTTCACAAAAGCGAGGGAAGATTAAATCTCATTCATCTGTCCACCTATCTAGCTGTCCGTCAGTCTGTCCGTCCATCAAACTTTAACCTTGTCCATATTAACTTTTGATTTCCGTACTTATGAAAAAACTTTAACCTTGACCATAACTTTTGAAAGATAAGGGCTGAAGGGCTTTCATACTTTATAAATATAATTCTTTTGAGAAGACCTTTCATTAAATACCAAGAACTTTGCACCTTGGATGTTGGCCTTGGAGTTTGACCTACATTTCAAAAACTTTGACCTTGGCCATAACTTTTGAACAGTTAAAGATACCAGGACTTTCATATTTCATATATATTTTCTTTGTGGCCAGACCTTTCATTTGATACCAACAACCTTGACCTTTTGACCTTCACCTTGGAGATTTTTTGTACTTATGAGAAAATTTTAACCTTGACCATAACTTTTGAATGGTAAGGGCTAGGGCTTTCATACTTCACATATGTAATCCTTTTCAGAAGAATTTTCATTGGATACCAGGATCTTTAACCCTTTGACCTGGACCTTGGAGTTCACTGATAATTTCTAAATAGATGACTATGATAGGGTGTTCATATTAGACACAGAATGTCAAAAAAAAATGACAGCTCTCCCCAAAAGACACCGAAAGCGGGGACCACAATTCTTTGAATTTGCTTGTTTAGAAATTATTATTGAAGTTGATTTCATTTTAAAATAAGGTCAATCATGAAGGCCAAAAGGGGTAAGAAATCATAGCATGCTCGGATTTCACTTGTCACATGAGGTTCATGTAATGCACATGTCAAATGTGTAGTGTTAAATCACAAGTAATAATATGTAAAGGAAGAAAACCCTAACTGTTATGACCAAGATAACAAGAGGCCCATGGGCCACATCGCTCACCTGAGTAACTTGGGTGATGCAGATCTTTTTAAAAGATTTGTTCTATATATATTTCTATGTAAAACTTGGATTCCCCATTGTGGCCCCGCCCTACGCCCGAGGGTCATGATTTTAACAATTTAAAATCTACACTACCCAAGGATGCTTCCACATAAGTTTCAGCTTTCCTGGCCTAGTGGTTCTTGAAAAGAAGATTTTAAAAGATTTGTTCTATATATTTCTATGTAAAACTTGGATTCCCTATTGTGGCCCCGCCCTAATCTCGGGGGTCATGATTTTAACAATTTAATATCTACACTACCCAAGGATGCTTCCACATAAGTTTCAGCTTTCCTGGCCCAGTGGTTCTTGAGAAGAAGATTTTTAAAGATTTGTTCTATATATTTCTATGTAAAACTTGGATTCCCTATTGTGGCCCCGCCCTACCCCCGGGGGTCATGATTTTAACAATTTAATATCTACACTATATATAGTTTCAGCTTTCCTGGCCCAGTGGTTCTTGAGAAGAAGATTTTTAAAAGATTTGTTCTATATATTTCTATGTAAAATTTGGATTCCCTATTGTGGCCCCGCCCTACCCCCGGGGGTCATGATTTTAATAATTTAATATCTACACTACCCAAGGATGCTCCCACATAAGTTTCAGCTTTCCTGGCCAAGTGGTTCTTGAGAAGAAGATTTTTAAAGATTTGTTCTATATATTTCTAGGTTAAACTTGGATTCCCTATTGTGGCCCCGCCCTACCCCCGGGGTTCTTGATTTTAACAATTTAATATCTACACTACCCAAGGATGCTTCCATAAAAGTTTCAGCTTTCCTGGCCCAGTAGTTCTTGAGAAGAAGATTTTTAAAGATTTGTTCTATATATTTCTATGTGAAATTTGGATTTCCTATTGTGGCCCCGCCCTGCCCCCGGGGGTCATGATTTTAACAATTTAATATCTGCACTACCCAAGGATGCTTCCATTTAAGTTTCAGCTTTCCTGGCCCAGTAGTTCTTGAGAAGAAGATTTTTAAGTATTTGTTCTATATATTTCTATGTAAAACTTGGATTCTCCATTGTGGCCCCGTCCTACCCCCGGGGGTCATGATTTTAACAATTTAATATCTACACTACCCAAGGATGCTTCCACATAAGTTTCAGCTTTCCTGGCCCAGTGGTTCTTGAGAAGAAGATTTTTAAAGATTTGTTCTATATATTTCTATGTAAAACTTGGACTATTGTGGCCCCGCCCTACCCCCTGGGGTCATGATTTTAAAAAATACACTACCCCAGGATGCTTCCACATAAATTTCAGCTTTTCTGGCCCAGTGGTTCTTGAGAAGAAGATTTTTTAATGACCCCACCCTATTTTCGTATATCTCCCCTTGGAAGGGGTCTTGGCCCTTGATTTTAACAATTTAAATTCCCCTTCACCCAAGGATGCTTTGTACCAAGTTTGGTTAAAATTGGCCCAGTGGTTCTTGAGAAGAAGTTGAAAATGTGAAAAGTTTACAACGGACAAGGCCAAATGAACGGACCAAACCGGGTGATCAGAAAAGCTCACTTGAGCTTTCAGCTCAGGTGAGCTAAAAAGTTATGTAAAAGTAGGTCAACTCCAAAGTCAAGGTCAAAGGGTAAAAGTTCTTGGTATCAAATGAAAGGTCTTCTCACAAGGATTACATATGCGAAGTATAAAAGCCCTAGCCATTACCATTCAAAAGTTATGTCAATGTTAAAGTTTTTTTTCAAATATGTAAATCTCCGAGGTCAAGGTCAAAAGGTCAAGGTTGTTGGTATTAAATGAAAGGTCTTGCCACAAAGAATACATATGTGAAATATGAAAGTCCTAGTATCTACCATTTAAAAATTGTAACCAAGTTTAAAGTTCTTAAAAAGTAGCTAAAAATCCAAGGTCAAAAAGTCAAAGTTTTTGGTATCCAATGAAAGGTCTTTTCACAAGGATTGCATATGTGAAGTATGAAAGCCCTAGTCCTTACCTTTTAAAATTTATAAGAAAGTTTTTTTCATAAGTACAGAAGAATACATATGTGAAATATGAAAGTCCTAGTACCTACCTTTCAAAAGATATGGTCAAAGTAAAAGTTTGGCATTTTTGTGTTAAAGTAGGTCAAACTCCAAGGTCAAAAGGTCAAAGTTGTTGGTATCTAATAAAAGGTCTTGCTACTGTAGATCACTTAATTTTCGCGACACCTTATTTTCGTGAGATAATCATTGACTCTTGATAAGCAAGACAAAATTTTCACGAATTGTGGTTATTGCTCTATATAATCTTAAGAAATACTATCATACGGGAGTATCAAATTTTCGCGAGCATTCTGTCTCGCGTAATAACGTGAAATTAAAGTTCTCGCAAATAAAAAGTGATTTACAGTACACAGAATACATATGTGAAATATGAAAGTCCTAGTACCTACAATATAAAAGTTATGGCCAAAGTGAAAGTTTGGAATTTTTGTGTAAAAGTGGGTCAAACTCCAAGGTCAAGGTCAAAAGGTCAAATTTGGTGGTATCCATAGAAAGGTCTTGTCACAAGAAATACACATATGAAATATGAAAGTCATAGCTCCACTAAATCAAAAGTTATGGACAAGGTTAAAGTTTTTGTGACAGCCGGACAGACTGATGGACAGACGAATGAGATTTAATGTCCCCTCTTTTTGCAGGTGACAATAATAGATTTGTTTATATCAAAGCAAAAATGCTTGCTTCTTGCAATTTTGAATATAAGTGTGTTTTACTGTAAAGTAGCTCCTCTTATATATGCTAATTAATCTCCTCATGTATAATACTTAATAAACTAAATAATATTGCAAAATCTAAAATTGACTTACCCAGATAATCTGTGAGACCTTTTGTCTGTATTTTCTTAACTCAAAGGTTTTCAATCGAATTCTGAAATAACAAAATAATAACCTAAGCTTTTCAGTCACTCTACAAAAACATAGCCATTAAGAATTTTCTATGTCCCTTAGACCCTTACAAATTCACTGTAGTCATACCTTGTTTAACTATAATTTATTTTAAGATTGACTTCACTCTAATATGTTTTTAAAACATACACACATAGTTTGTAAATATTAACCTACAAGTATATAAATTATACAGTTATGGGGTACCCGAGGGAAATCCGCAACTCCTCTCATACCAGTGAAGGAAATTTAATGAAACTTTCACAGAATCTTTATTACATAAATTGCCATTGTGCACCTCCTATTTTACTTTACCCAAACAATCATATATTTTAAAAATTTTAAAAAAACATGTTAAAAATACTGTACATTATATTCATATAGAAGGCGGGGGAAATTGATTTTAATCTAAATCTCATTGCTCACAGTACCTCTAGATTATTTTAAGATTGACTTCACTCTAAGGTTTTTAAAACATACACACATAGTTTTGTAAATATTAACCTACAAATATATATATATATATATGCAGTTATAGCTTCCATTGAACATGTTATATTATGTTGAAAAATGTATTCCACTGTAAATTTTAAGGTTGTTTTTATATAATTATTTTTAAATTCAACAGAGCTCCAGATAATGTGTCTCTTTGCAAAACATACTGTAAATCTGGAAATTTTTTTCGATTTTATTTTACAAAATACGCATTGTATTATATTACATCAAGTACTTTCGTGGTGTAATGCTCATCTACAATTGCTAATGCGTATTTGTATGCTCTATTTGAATTTTCAATGCATATTTTGTAAAACTCAATACGTATTTCGATCTGCAAACACGCACCTTATCTGGAGCTCTGAATTGTCCATTTACAAAACATATTCAGCGGCAGGGGCCCTAAGCGGTTCCTTGATCCCACCTTACTATTTGTCATTTCAGAATGATCGCAGCTCTGGACTATGCACTAAGCATAACTTTTTTATTGTGTTCATAGCCAATTTTTCATTTCTCTAAACTGGCCATAATAACGAAGATTCTTATTTCTCTCAGTTTACTCTTGGTACCATATCATTTTAAATAGAGGAAAAGTTTTGTGTCTCTGACTCTGTGGTACCTTGACCTACTGTATAATCTTCCTCATCAAAAAAAAATGCTTTCCAATTTTAGCAAAAAGTCTTGTTGGTATTTTCAAAATATATTTAAATAAATGCAGAAACTGACTTTTGCAGCTTTCTCCCTCTTGAAAAAAATACTTATATTTCTATTACAAGCTTAAAATCAAGGTCAAAACATTTATATATAAACAAAATACTCTTCAATCATTTTGCCAAAAATCAAAATCTGCATTAATTGATTTGAAGATCAGTGTGTAAATACAATTTGGGGTAAAAAATTATCTGAAGCTCTGATTCAAGACGGAATTCTCAGTCGTAATAGATTTACAAACAGATTGTAATGAATGTTAAAATTTTTTTAACCTATATAAAAAGAAATCAAACCTCTTCTCAGTGTTTTCCCTAAGAACCTGCCAAATTGACCGCTTCAATTGACAAATCTGCCACTTTGAAATAATTTTTTTTTACAAGATCCACAAAGATTTTGTTCATAAACCTCAATCCCTAGCCTGTTACAACTGCTCTCTAACCCTTTACTTTGAAATAAAGGGAAAACACTGATTCTTGCAAAGAAATGCATGGTTCTTCTTTCATGTGAAATCATAGCATGTCGCTAAAATTGATCAATTGATCAATTTCACAGAAAGAATTAATGCAGATTCCAGATAGAATTGAAACTTAACTGAAAGTGATCACGGAACCTTATATCATTGATTCTAGTTGAAAGTCAGTTATATTTTAGATGCATTTTTTCGACATTAAACATTGTCAAAATGAATCGGTCAGGAGAAGAACAGCTGACTGGTCTAGCTCTTAAAATTTTATTTTTCATAATGGTAATTAATTCAGGTATGTGTTTGCATTAAAGGTATAAAAATATTATTTTGGAAGTGAAATGCTTCATCTTTTTGTTTAATATCCTATAGCTATAGTTTAAACAAGAGGCGCCCAGGCCTTATAGGTCACCTGAGTATCATGTTACATTAACTTTCCAGCAATTGAATTTGGTGCGTGATTTGAACCAAACTAAAGTTGTGAAATTCACAATTTTGAAAGAGGTACCATTGCTTATCATAATTATTCACTTAGCATGCTTACTTTGGTTACTTGATACCCAGTAACAAAGAGAAAAATTGCATTTCCACTTTAAAATCACCAGTTGTGTATCCCTCCCCACGGGAACCACTGACCTTGGGGCCACATATTTCAAATGGAAATTTTATCATAAATTTTATTTCAGCATAAATGATTGATTAAAACTAAACAGCAGATTTCAAAGCATTAATTTTTTTTCAGACTTCAGGGTTCTCCATGAGCTGTTTTACTGTGTTGCTCCCGACACAGTAAAATTTTCTCCGACACAGTAACGATTCAAATTTTATGCTTGCAACACAGTAAAAAATTTCCGACACAGTAGGATCTGTGATAATTAGAAAATCTAAACACATAAATTCTTTCTAACTGTAACTTTAATCAAACAATTAAATCTCTTTCAATTAGCACTTAATCACTAGGGCTTCACCTTGCATAATGAATTATCTCCTAGACCCTCGCCGGACTTTACGCATGACGGAACAAAGACATATAATTTATTTTCACACTTTCATGTAAGGGTTATTTGGTAGTTGCGATAAAATTCATTGTATTATTTAAAATAAATATATAAATATGTCTTGTCTATAGAGCCACGGCTCTAGAATTATTTAAGCACTTTACGTCATAACATCGTACCGACGTACTTTAATTGATATAAATAAATTGCTTAAAATTTTGAACATGTTCAATGAACTCTTAAGATCAAGAAAACTGATAAATAATCACGGCGAATTTACCTTCAAAATGTTAAGTAGTACGACTATCAGTCAGAATTTTATCTGCTTTTCAGAACGTGTTTTTACTTTTATCAATATGTACGACCATACCATTTGTGTAACTAATTAGCGATTTTTAAATAAGTATGTGCATTTATTCTTTTGTAATTATTATGGATAGTGATTCAGTTGCGAATTTGATTGCGAAAATACAGTGAAATTTGAATTCTTTGCGTTAACTCTGCAACACAGTAACATTTCAAATAAAGTTTAATATGTGAAATTTCACTCGGAGCCTTGGTGACTTCATATTAAACAAAAATGATTTAATTTTTTCTTTTGTCTGTGTATTATGCATGATGAATTGCATCATTTTCATTTAAAAATCTTTCTTCAAAAATGCATGGTTAAAATTTTAAGCCGTTTTGAATATTTTGCATAACCCCAAACCTCTGATCTAAAAATGTTTAACTATAAAGAACTGTTTCAGAGGATTCTAATCCATGAAAAATTTTTTGGATCATGGGGTGGGCTAGCTCACAATTTTTAATCAATAGTTGAAGATGTTCACTTATTTTCTTCAAAGAACATTGTAGTTTCACATAGCCTGAGTATCAGAACTTGGGCTCTCAAAGGAATTTTTTTTAAAGATATTTGAAATGGGACGTAAGGACTTGGTATTAAGTTAATTGGTATAATGAGAGGGTCATTTTATGGAGTTAGTAAACCTACCCCTTTATTTAATACCCACTTTATTACCCAGGAGCAGAGAAGAAGTTTTTTAAAGAATATATTCATGCATGTATTCTCACTGTATAAACAATAGAGCTTTGTCCTAACACCAGAACCCCTGACCCTGGGGCCATAAAATTCACAATTTTGGAAGAGGCACTTTTGCTCATCATAACTATACTATATATGTACTTTGTTACTTTATTTAATGCCCATGTGCAGAGAAGAAGATTTTCAAAGAATAATGCATAATTTTTACTGTCCTAGCACTGAAACCCCTGACCCTGGGACCATAGAGCAGGTGGAAGTAGAAGGCAGGTGGTCAGTGGGCTGCACTGGCCCTGGATCCGCCTTTGATAGACTCACTATACACACTCAAAGTAATAAATCAAAAGAGTTTTGCCCCTTTGTATTGATAATCTAATAGAAATATCAACAATACTAAATTGATTTCTCATTTATTAAACTAGCAAAACTATGGAATTGTGTCATAATTTAATGGGTAAAATCAATGCATCTTAGTGTTGGGAATAAAATTTAAATAATGAAGAAAAAAATTGTATGCATTTGCAATTGCATATACTAATTAAACCGGCCACTAAAAAATGCACTTTTTTCATTTGTATTCATATATTTATTTAAATTTTAAATCTTTCAGGATATAAAACTGTTTCATTTTCTATTTTCATTTTTATCAATCAGTGGCTTAGAACCTGTGGAGCTTTATATTTATTCTTAGTAAGCTTATTTTTGTTATATATATCAAAAACCTGAAAACTACAATTTTTTAAATTTTTAATCCTTACCTACCCACCCTAAAAATTATTGGTCAGCGACTATAAGTTTTTTTAAGCATGGTCTGTGGTCTGTTGTCTGTGGTCTACACTCTACAGTCATGTTTTTAAGATATAATTTTTTTTTTCTTACATCAAAGTCAAAATTTTAATTTATTTTGATCACAGCTCCCAATGAAAATGAATTAAACTGGTTTGTAATGAATTGGTTTTTACATTATATATGTATACATATGGACATCAACCAGGGACCTATATACTAATATTAGTATTTTGGATATACCCGGTAATAACTTTTTATATTAGATATATAGTTGTCAGATTAAGCAAAGGTACCACAAGCAGGATGACTGCTGATATCATCATGATCAGACTAAGTGAAGACATGCTCTCTGTATGGCTAATCAATATAACTAAAAACTTTGATTTTAACTTATTTTCCTCCCAACTTAATCAACATATACCCTTCTAATACTATGGCTGTTCAACATACCTAAAACTTTGATTTTAACCAATTTTCTTCCCAACTTGATTAAAAGATACATGTACCCTTCCCACTAAGGCTTAAAAGTTATTAACATTATAACTAAAAACTAAATACTAAAAAAAAAAGGAAAATTTACGTAATTTCCTTCTGACATGATATTTCAACAATTCAGCCCCAAAAAAATAACTACATGTACTACACTGATATATTAGCTTAACCAACAAAATTAATAATTTTCATTCATTTTTCAATCAGCAAAAGAAACCTTACACCAATGATGTACCAAATGGAAACCATAAGTTGCATGTCAGCTTTGAATACCAGAATAAAGTCTCAGCTTAAGATGCTAACAATCAACTTACCCAGTAACACTCTGCTATTTGTAGGTCAAGGGTCACCCTGCTTCTAACAGGTGGACTGGAAACTGAGCCACTGTGACAGGGGGTCCCTCTTATGTCTTCTTCCAGTCAGCCAATCAGATTGCAGAGTCACCTTCTGATTTCACCAATCAAATGTTAGACATTTTCCTCTCTCTGACTAATTGAAAATAATAATAAAGAGAATAAAATTAATAAATAAAAACAAATAAACACATGAAATTTCATTAACATTTAAAAAAATCACCAGTACTTTCATATTTTATATGTAGTAAAATGTTTGTCAATTTTTCTATTATTTTTTTTTATGAATTTAATTTTATAAATAATGTTAAATTTTTCACAAATATAAAGTGAAAGGCTTTATGAACAGGGAGTTGTACAATAACACATTTTTGAACATATAAATCTTTAAGATGGTTTAATTCCCATGATTGTTTGCTATGTGTAACTATATATAGCATAAGAAAAGGACTAGGGTGGGAAACACATGATGATAGCCCCACCTGTGAAAACAAATGGGATCAGAGACAAAAATTGAAGGTTGGCAGTTAATTGACAGGGTTAAATAAACTGTTAAATTGGCTTCAAACTTTCTAATAATAATTCTAAAATACATGATAAAAGCATGATGAAATTTAGAGATAAATCTTTCATAAAATTTTCATCCCTTAATAAATCTTTCAGACAGTCTATTTATTTATTCATTTCTATTTAAAATTTCTAAAGTTCTGTGTTTTTAAATTTTATTTTGAAGGACTGAAAAAAAGAAAAATATTCCTAACTAATTATCTTGATTATTATGTTTTGACAGTACTTTAAAATGAATTTATTCTGTTCATTTTTAAGGAATTTGTGCAATAGCCAAATCTTACATTAAGAATTAAGCTATAATTTCTTTCTTTCTTTTTTTGATCACC